CCTTGGCCTGTGAGTCACAAATCTTAGCTCAAACGAGCTTTAGCAGAAAAGGACTTTGATTGGCTCCAATAGCTGAATAATCTGTGTCCAGGTCAGGTGAAGCTTCATCTAGGGCTCCACTCTGATCCAAGGCCCCTTCTTTCTCTTGTTCTTTTAGGGGCTCCATCTCCCAGGCCTATGAGCAGGAGCAACCCTCATGCTTCCAAGATGGCCCCAGGAGCTCCCAAGATCCCTTTTCTTGGTGCAAATCTAGCAGGAAGTGATTCTCTGCTTCCTGGAAGTTTCAAACTCAAATCCAGGAATAGTCTCCTGTAGCAGCCTGCCTTGGGCCATGTGCCCATATCTGAGCCAGTCACTAGGGCAAGGGGTTTAAGGAGATCAGAGTCCATTTCTGGAGAGGATGAGAGTGAAGTCAGCACCACCCAAAACATAGGGACCAGTTGCTGCGAAATTCTGAATACTAGAAGGACAGGCTAGGAGGAATGGATGATGGGGAGAAAACCAACTAATATGCAGATGCCCTTTCCTCCAGGAGGCCTTCCCTAAGTCTTCCTCCTTCAGTTTCTATCACAGGAAACTCTGTAACTCTCCTCTCCTCTCTCCTCCTCATTCCTTTTCTTTTCTTTTCTTTCTTTTTTCTTTTCTTTTCTTTTCTTTTTTTTTTTTTTGAGACGGAGTCTCGCTCTGTCGCCCAGTCTGCAGTGCAGTGGCACAATCTCGGCTCACTGCAAGCTCTGCCACCCGGGTTCACGCCATTCTCCTGCCTCAGCCTCCCAAGTAGCTAGGACTACAGGTGCCTGCCACCTCGCCCGGGTAGTTTTTTGTATTTTTAGTAGAGACAGAGTTTCACTGTGTTAGCCAGGATGGTCTCCATCTCCTGACCTCGTGATCCTCCTGCCTTGGCCTCCCAAAGTTTTGGGATTACAGGTGCGAGCCACCGCGCCTCGGCCCTCTTCATTTCTTTTTGCCTCTCTGCTTCCAGAGCAACATAAACTCCCTGTGGGCAGGAAATGGAATTATTGATTTCCACTATTTCCCCAGGGCCCAATATCTAGAGTTGAAAGAATGCATATCTCAAAACTATCTCCTGGTTCTTTTTCTACTTTCTTGTGTATTCTTTTTTTATTTTTTAAGTTTTTTGAGATGGAGTCTCGCTCTGTCACCCAGGCTGGAGTACAGCGGCATGATCTCAGCTCACTGCAACCTCTGCCTCTTGGGTTCAAGCAATTCTTCTGCCTCAGCCTCCTGAGTAGCTGGGATTACAGGCATGTGCCACCACGCCCAGCTAATCTTTGTATTTTTAGTAGAGATGGGGTTTCACCATGTTGGTCAGGCTGGTCTCAAACTCCTGACCTCGTGATCCACCAGCCTTGGCCTCCCAAAGTGCTGGTGCATATTCTTTTTTTGTCTTTCCTGCTACTCCCTCTTGCTCTTCCCACCCCTAAACTATGTAGCCTCAAAGATCTTACCTGGCTGACTGATCAGCTTTCAAGATAGTTTCTGGAAGATGCCTCTAAATCTAAGCCTTCAACTCTCATCTCTGTTCTGAATTTCAGACCTGGAATTCTAATTCCAGGTCCACATGGCTCCTCAGTACATCTTCCTGGAAATTACAAATGACCATACGGTACAGTTGTTACTTACCACCCGTAAGACCACACTTGGCGTCATCTCCTGAAAACGACTCCTCTCCTGACTCCCCTGTTTCTGTGAGTGATTCTGCAGTGGCTTGAGGTCATCCATTTCTCTGAAAGATCTCACACCAGGGTACATACCGAGATTTGACCCGGACGGTTGGACCTGTGCCTCACGATCAGGGTAGAAGCCTCTGGTGGTCTCATTTCTTTGTCCTCCTCTGTGGTGTGACACAGGTGCAGGAGGAGGTACACAGACACAGAAGAGATGCTTTCCCTGTGCAGGGTTGCTGACAGTCTTGCCCGCAACTCCTGGCCTCCTCCCCCTACATGTACACATTCACTGCTCTGACCCTGAGTTGGACCCAGCTAGGAATTGTGACTTCAGTTACTAGTATTTCCTCTGAGCCTCTAGTCATGGCCAAGGGCTAATCTGTATATGAAAACCCACTTGAAAGAAATCCCAGTGCTGAAGAAAGAATTGAAACATACAGAGTGTTTCCTTGCTCAAGGGAGTGTTGACTTCAGCACTTTCACTGAGCAGAGGCTGCAGGTGACCACCTTGGCTCTCCCTGCAGGAGAGAGCCCAGGGAGACTGAGCCTGAATTTGCTGCCATGTTTTGAGGACATTATCCATGCTAGTCTCTTTCATCTGGGCCGAGGTGGGTAATTTTCCTTAGAGTCAAGTAATAGAAAAAGTGTTGCTTCTTCCGAGAGCTAGTACATTGCCCTCTTGTGAATGAGAGCTCTGTACGTGACCACAACACTCTTTCATTTGACCACTAAGAGACTGAAGGCCAATTCCGGATCAACTTTACAGCTGCCTAGGGTCTGCTGTACCACCCATGGCATACTTTCTGTGGTCTGATGCTTTATTTTTTATTGTATTTTACTAATTTATGGCATGCATATCATATGAGCTGTCTCAAATCCTCCCCAGAATAAGGTGAGGAATATATTAATATTTAAAATAAAATAAACAAAATGTCAGTGTGTGTGTGTCTTAGGCTGGAAATTCCTTAAGGGCAGGGACCATGTCTGTTTATATAGCACCTGGCACAGTGTCAAATTGAGGCTTAACACATGAATTTTGATGAAGAGCAGAAAGAAGCTGCAGAGACTAGGCCTCATGCTCCCACTGATAGTGGAGCATCATCCAGACCGTGTTTGCCAAGGTCCCCTTCCTCATGCCTGACGAATCCTTACCCCACTCCTGACCATACAGCTTCGCTCCCCACAGTCTACCTGGTCCTCACCTAAGCTCATGCTCTCTCACCAGCCCAGAGGTTCACCCCAATCACCCAGCCCACCCTTTCACCCACAGTCTCCGCCACCCTGCAGGCCCATCCCGGGCTGGGCAGCCGCGCATGGTGCTAGGAAATGCCACTGGCATTTGAGGCGTTTGAGGTGCTGTCCCCACACGTGCCTTGGCCCTGTGGGGGCCTCCAGCCAGGCAGGGACCCGGGAGAGGGAGGGAGAGGATAAGCCGCTTCGAAACTCCAGATGCAGCAGTTAAAAAGAGGACAGAGGCAATGATCCTTCAAATTGCCACATCTGTATAATCTGCCTTTTATTTTCTGCTTCATGAAGTTTTATTTCCTATTATTTATTCACCTCCCCGCCCTCCCCTCCCCCGCCTCCACTCCTCCTTAGCAGGCGACATGCTCAGATGGGTCCTGAGCCCTGGCCTGGGTCTGGGTCCACCCCCATCCCCTCCCTGGGGCTGGCTGCTGGGAGGAGGCACCTGCTCCCCGCTTCTCTGACTCCCTGTCTTCTACTTTCCCTTCCTTCCTTGGGACATTTGGGTACTGCATCCCCCCATCATTGTGTTTCAGCCTCTGAAGTCCCCTCCCTCCATCCTTCAAGTAGAGCTCTGAGAAAATGTGCATGGATCATGGGATCATGGAGGTGAGGACTGTTCCTACAGCCTGTATCACTGTCACCTCCCCCAGCCGTCCTAGAACTCACAGCCAGGTGATGTCCCTGGCCCTCTCCTTTCCTCTGCTTGCCATTTCCCACTCTCCCCACCCTGGAACCTTCCCTCCCTTTTCTAGTTCTCCAACCTGTGGTTGGGGAGCTGGGCTGGTCCACCCTGGGTGCAGGGGGCTATGAAGATGGGAAGGAGGGGACCAGCCAGATGTGCAGGGAGGTGCAGCCTATAGTGTGTTTTCAGACCCTGAGCACCCACTGCCCCCTTCCCCACCCAGGTGTAAGAACAAAGAAGCAACTCAGAGAGAGACGCAGGCCTTCTGGTCCTAGGCTTGCGGTCCGGTTAGATAGGTCTGGAGCAAGTCTGGAAGACGGTGGTTGGAATGGGGTGAGAGGGTGTTTGGGAAAGGATGCTCATGATGTTTTATTTCTTCCTCGCCTAGCACCACCTCACTCCTCCCAGACACAGAAGCGTAGGAGGCCAGGGGAGCAGCCTTTTTCCAGGAAGACAGGTCGGACTTCAGGCTTGAGGGTTAGAGTTTGCAGTTGCTGTTCTAGTGGCTGCTTCTTGGAGAAGACAGTGATCCCAGATAGAGGCCTGGGATGACCATGAGGGACTTTGCAAATATCATCTGAAACCCAACAGTATTTTGTGTTTTATATGCAACCGTCTTCTGATCTTCACTTTCCTACTTTACTCTATAGTTCTGTACAAGTCTCGTTTCTTAAGCTATTGTGTTTTTTTGGTTTGTTTTTGTTTTTGTTTCCCCTTGGGAGCTGGGAGGAGTCCTTTTGGGTTCATCTTGTTTTCTCCTGGTGTCTACCAAAGGGAAACGTTCATAGCAGGTAGTTCATGAAAGACTTCTGAATGAATGAATGAATGAATGAATGAATCAGCTAATGTAAGGGTTGTAGCAGAATCCTCATGTCCCAGCCTATACTAACTGTGGCTACCTGGCTCTCCTCTGGTTTCTGCCCCATCCTGGAATTTTCTGGAAGCCTGACTTTAGCTCGGTGGCAAACTGAGTCAGGATCCAAGCTCCCATCAGGGAGGGTGGGGCACCATAAGCCGCCCCACTCCCACCCCAAACACAGAGCAGATTCCACATATGGAAATATGGTGTTTGCCTGATGGAAAATTACCGGGGAAATGTGGGCGAAAGAGGGTTTCATACCTAAACCAGTCAGATGAGGCCCTCGATGCTTTTCACTGACCTGGGTCACTACTGCGTCACAGTGTTAAGCTGCACATTTTTCTGGCTCAAGCCACGCATTTTACAGTTGAGGTAAGTAAGCAGTCTCCCGGGGTCGCCAGCAGGGTAGGGACAGAAATCCAGTCACAACCCTACACTCCAGGTCTGGGCTCTTTTAGCAACATCCCTCAGCCAATCTCTCCCAGGGGGAAAACAAAGGCAATGACCAGGGGCCACGTTATTGTGATATGATAACTAGCAAAACTTTAATAACACCAACCAGTTCAGCCCCTAGAATAACAGACTGGGCAGACCCTTTCCCCTTGCCTCAGCAAAGAGGGTGTTTCTAGGGAAGAAACGGCTACACTTTGCAGGTAAACACTTTCATCACCTTCATGGCGACAAGAGCTCCAGGCCTTGTTCCTCCCTTCTTCCTTCCTCCTTGTCTCTTTCTCTTCCTTGTTTTCCTTCGGTGGGGAAACGAGTTTCCATTCTGACCAAGCTCATCTGTTTTAAGGACAATTTCTTTCCTGCTGTAGTTAAGTCTTCTGGGTGCTCTCGTCTCCCCAGGGGGATGGCCATATGTGGGGGTACCAATGCTACCCACAGCTGGGGGCCTCCCCACTGGGTCCCTCTAGGGGGTGAGGACAGGGGAATGATGTGACTTCGGTGGGAGGATGAGAGGGCCTGGACTGTGAGGTCCCAATCTGTGCTCCTAGCAAGGGCTGTGGCTGTCAGTGAAGCTTGCTACCAGGCCCCCATCTCCAGCAAAAAAAGCAAACAAACATAAAACAAACAAAAAAGACAGTATTTACAAATGAACTTGTCTCTCATTGGGGCGGCTCTGGGCGTCTGGGTAGTAGGCGGGTAAGCCTGCGCCCGCAGGGTTGTGTGCAGGAGCGGGAGCTCAGGCTCCTGAAACTGGGGGGGAGGGTGCCTTGTCTGGGGGAGGTGCCTTGGCTTCAGGGAGGGTGCCTTGGCTGTGGAAAAGGCAGGAGAGAGTCTGACAGGAAGAAGACCATGGAGGAGGAGGAGAAGTGGGGGGGTCTCGGAGGGGGTGGGGGAGGGAGGCGCAGTGGGGGGGTGTTGGCTTCATGCTGTTACTAGTTTGATTTATCCCTAATGAGTTCTCAGCACATGGCTGCTCCCGGCTCACTCCAGGGGCCAGCCGGCCCGCCCCGACTCTGCAGCAACAGCAGCAGCTCGCTCAGAAAAGAGCCAATTTCCACACTGCACAGTCCGCTTCACTCAGGGGGAAATCACATTTTCCCGGGAGAGCCGCAGGCGGCGCTTCCCTCCACAGCCTGGCCGGCTGCCATGGGGCACAGATGCCAAGGAGCCGGGTCCCCCACCTCCCCTTCTCTCCCCATCCAAAGCCCCTCTTGCTGCCTTCCAGGAGGCCTGAGTCCTTTCACCGTGCGCCTTAGCCCCTGCTGCTTCTCAAGGATAGGGGAAAGAGTGAGGTCAGGGGGAGGAGAGACCCGTCTGCCCTGCTGCCTGCACCAGCTGCTTCCAGGAAGGAGAACTAGGCACCCTCCTTCTCTCTGAAGGGCATGGAGATGTGGGGATGGGGTTGATGACAGAGGTGTGTGCCTATGAGAGTGGGGACTCGTGGGGACAGGTGTCTGCCACCCAGGAGGTAATGACCTCCAGCGTCTGTGTCCCAGTGGTCCCCAAAGAGCCACAGGAGCTGTAGACAGTAATGAGAAGAGCAAGAAGCCAAGGAGAGGGCCATGGGGTGAGGGCGATAGGGAGAGGACAAAGGGGAGAGGGAGATGGGGAGAGGGAGAAGAGGGGAGGGAGATGGGGAGAGGGAGAAGAGGGGAGGGTGATGGGGAGAGGGTGATGGGGAGAAGGTGATGAGGAGAGGGTGATGGGGAGAGGGAGAAGGGGAGAGGGTGATGGGGAGAAGGTGATGGGGAGAGGGCACTGGAGAGAGGGAGGAGGGATGCTTCCTGGCATTTCGTGAGCACGGTCAGGGACTCCAAGCTCTCCCCAAACATTCCCTTTCTCTTTCCCTCATTCATAGCCCTGGAGACACAAATGTCTCTGGAACAGTAGGGAAAGGAATAATTGCTGTAGACTCAGCAGAAAAGGAAAAAGACTAGAAAACTAAAAGAAGTGAACAAAGGAAGGAGATAGAGGTGAGAGAGGGAGTTTCCTCCATGAGAACCATAGCCACGGTAGCTCAGCCACTTGGTGTCAGAAGGTAGCACGGCAGCCTGGGGCAGAGGAGCCACCAGCTCCTTTATGGAACATGGAAGGCTTTATGACCCTAAAGGTTAGAGAGGGGCTGCCAAAGGGCACCAGGAAGGGAGATTTAGGGCCAAGGATGGAGGGAAGTCTGAGATCAGCCTGGCACCGCTCTGTGCTCTGCCTGGCCCCAGTGCTTCTTCTGTTGAGCTCTGGGCCTTGTTGTCCAGTCATGCTTTGCAGGGAGGGGCAGCAGAAGTCACTGTGCCCCAACTGGCCAAGTGACTTCTGCTCCTCCCTGCAAAGCAAGGGGTGTCTGAGGTCTCTCAGAAGCCTGGTCACATCCAGATAATCTGAGGCCTGATGATAGGATGCAGATTAGGCCTTGGATTAGGGGTCAGGCTGTGGTCCCTGCTCCTCTGCTGACTCGCTGAATGACCTTGAAAAAGTCAAGTTATCTTTTGGTCTCAGATTCCCCAAGTGCAAAACAAAAGAGGCCAATGTTCAAAATCAGAGATGTAAATAGATATGAATGGGCTTTGCATGGAGAAAGAAACTAAGCCTGTGTAGAGGGTTATTATCACTTCTGAGGCTGAGGCAGGGCAGAGATGCTGTTAAGCTGTGGGTGCAGGAGCTGCCTGTGAGGGGGCTCAAACCCCGCCCCCGCCTCCCTCAGCCTTGATTGACGGGGCTGACGCTGATGCCCAGGCCCAGTAATAATGGCATTGAGGTCTGCAGTCCCCTTCCTCTGGTGCCCACCCCCAAAGGACAAGGAAGTGTGAATTATCTTAAAGGAGCTTCATAGTTGTTTTTTTTTTTTTTTTTTTTTTGAGACAGAGTCTCGCTCTGTCACCTAGACTAGAGCGCAGTGGCATGATCTCGGCTCACTGCAACCTCCGCCTCCTGCGTTCTCCTGCCTCAGCCTCCCGAGTAGCTGGGATTACAGGCATATGCCAGTATGCCTGGCTAATTTTTGTATTTTTAGTAGAGACGGGTTTCATCATGTTGGCCAGACTGGTCTCAGACTCCTGACCTCGTGATTACAGGTGCTGGGATTACAGGTGTGAGCCACACAGTGCCCCACCAGGAAGCCTCATGTTGATATGGATGGGAAAGGTGTGTGTATTTTGAGTGGTAGAAGTGGGAGGATGGTGAGGGCAGGTGGGAGAGGGGAGATTTTAGCAAGAGCCTCACCCTCTCTGTCTTTCTGTTTTTATTTGGAGGCTCCTGTTTCCACTTCCAGTAGGTTTCACCAACTCCTCTTGCCTGAGGTTGTCACCAGGGTCGAGTGTGTGTTTGGCACAGAGGGCAGAAGATACATATTTCTTAGTCACAACTCATGGCAAGGATATTGCAGAAGTGAGAGATGATGTGACAAGGGGAGGGATTGGAAGTAGCCTGGGGGCTGACTTTGTAGGTGACGACTCCCAGTTCCATTGTCTCTACTCCTGGAACTTTCTGGTAGAGGGTACAGGTCAGAGCAATTCTGCTCATCTGGTGGGCTCCAGGCAGGGTTCCAGCTGCCCCCTTTCCCAGCAAGAAACCCACTGCCCTGCCAGGGTTGGTTGGTCCACATGAATTTCCTGTGAGCTCCTAGCACCCTGGGCTGGCCTGGTCTGTGCTAGAACCTGAGGAGGAGGAGTGAGGGTAATGGACCAGGGAGAGGTTAAGAGTAACCTGCCTGGGAAGCTCAGGTGGTCTCTCTACATGAGCAGTGGAAGGGATTATTCCAGGGGGAAGGGATAGGCCCTCAGTGCTCTCAATGCCTCAGGAATGTTTTGGGCCCATGCCTCATCCCCAGTTCTCCTACCAACACACATACCAGCCTCAGAGAACCCCCGGCTCCCCTGTACCATAAAGCAATTCCCCTTCACCTGCGACCACTCACAGATGCTGCCCTCACTCCCCCAGGTGAAAGTGGCCCCTGGGCCAACCCACAAAGCCCCTACGTGTCCTCCCTGTCCTTGTCATCACACCCTTCTTCACTGTGTCCCCCCATGTGCCAGCCTGACTCCTCCCAAGACCACCCCAAATGCTGGGGCACTTCGAATTGTCTTTCTTTCACCCAATACATAAATGGCCCTATTTTCTGAGCCCGAAAAGGGGATCCATGGTTTGACCATGGGCAGAATATTGGATAGGTACTAGCCAAGGCCCGTTACATGGGGAGCACATCCCCCACTCACCAAACACCCGCTCTGAGCACAGGTTCCTGGCAAGCCCAGCTCACCTCAGGGAAAGAAAGGCAAGTTTTAAACCATGGTCACCTTAGCCAAAGCACAGCCCAAGCCCCTTTGTTGGTTGTGAGTCGGAAAGGGCCTGATGGGTGTACAGAGCGTCCCCAGAGGGGCTATGGCTGTAAATGCAAGGGATGGCTCTACGGGCTCCTTCAGATGCTGTGCATCTCAAAGTGATTCATGGGTAGGGAGCACTCGGGATTCCAGGGGTTTGAGGTCAGGAAGACTCTCAGATATCATGGATTCAGAGTCACGCTGCAGAGGGAAGTCCTGCCATTGAGAAAACAGCCGCATCTCAGATCCCCTCAGAAGAGATGGATTTTCTTCCTGGGAGGGCTCCCCCCTGCCATGTCATCCATGGCAGCATCCCTAACCTCCCTTTGGGAGGCCTAAGGAGGTAAGAGCCCTGTCTCCCAGCCTCTGTCCTCCCAGCCCTGGAGTCCCTGGGCCCCTTCCATCGGACTCAATCCCAGTGTTGTCTGTCCAGCTGTCCACATTCACCTGGGCATCCCAGCTGCAGGCCCCTGCCCCCTTGTTCCAGCTGGGTCTCACATGCAGAGGGTCCATGTGGATACCAGACAGCCCCCTGGAGTGCAGAGCCCAAGCTGTCACATTGCATTTCCCAAATTTCCTGGAGGGGGTTGGCCTAAAGTCCTAAGTTTCTATAGCCTCCCTCACCTTGTCCTGGCCCCACCACGCTGTACCTCTCCATTCAGTCAGGTCAAATCTTAAGCAAATCAAAAGAAATTAAATCCCCAGTGGCAGCCCCAGAACCTCCATTGGGTCTAGAACCCTTTGGCATCCCTGATGAGGACTCTGGGGTCTTGGGTACAAGTGCTGGGCTTAGAGTAAGAGGACTTGGTTGAATCTACTACTTCGTATATTTGGCAAGTCATTTCATTTTTTTCAAAGCCTCAGTTTCCTCATATGTAAAATGAAACTGTGTGTAAAACAGGGCTAATTTCAACTTAACTTATATGAAGCCCTCCATATTGTGCCTTGCACACAAGAGAGCCCAGTCTCCTCTCTTCCTTCAGAGCTGTTTATGCAGGCTATAGTCATAGCTATTCCCAGATCTTTCACTAATCCACCCTGCTGATTCTCTGGCTTCCTGTTAATAATAACAGCAACTCCTTGCGGGGAGTCTATGGCTGGCTTGACACTGTGCTATCCTTGCATTTACTCAGTGTCGAAGAACTTGGGATGAGTGAGGTACCCAGCATTCAACATGAATTAAAGGCAAAGGGAGAAGGCCAAGCCAGAGCTGTGGGGCATTAGATGGTCCCTTCCAACCCACGGCCCCAAAGTGAGTTTGTCGGCTACTCAGCTCTGATGTTCTTGGGAGAAAGCCCAGCCCCAAGGTGCCTCCTTCCCCAGCCAACCCCAAAGCCTGAGATGAAGAGCAATGGTTTATTGAGTCATGTGGTAATGGCAGGTTGTCTTTAAAAAAAAGAAAGAAGCATCAAGGAGAGAAGCCCCACATGGCAAAGAGAGACATTTCACTCAGAGGCCAAAGTCTGGGGATGGAAAGAAGGAAGCTTGACCCAAACAAAGTTTCATTTACAGTATATACAGTCAGGCCTTGGGGGCAGGAGCTGCTGGGGAGCAGAGAGGGACCCTGTATTGTTGGCTTCAGGGGGTGCCTTGGGTCTCTTCAGTAGCTGGTGGGCGTGAGCTGCAGGAAGCAGATTGGGCTTGGCAGGAGCTGTCGGGAAGGGGAAGCGGGTTTCCTGCAATTCTGCCTTGCTCTGCCCTGGGTGAAGCCACACACCACACCTCACCTCCCAGGCGCCCAGGCCCTGTGGAATGTCTGTTTTAAGCTGCCTAGGGCTGGTCCAGCTGACGGCAGCTGCTAAGGGGATGTCCCACTGCAGGAGGACCGGGGGTGGTGCTGTACCTTCACAGCAGCAGGCAAAAGAAGTCAGCTGACAGCCTGGTGGAATTTCTGAGGGACTCGCCCCAGCCTTCAGCCAGCCCATGCCCGAGAGGGAGGTGTAGAAAGAGCCAAGCAAATGGTGTGGAGAAAGAGGACAGTTAGAGCCTCCGTGTGGGGCAGGCGGGAGGCTGAGGGAGGTGACTACACCCTGGGTGGTTGGTGAGGAGAACCTCAGCACCAGGCTGTGACTTGTGGGCTGGAAGGGAAGTGCTTACGGTCCATAATTGCTACAGTTGTGTTAATAATGGAGCCATGGAGGTGCCCTGTGTACCCCTTGGGCCCAGGCAGGAACCATTCGCCATCCCCCCAAGTTCCTTGGCTATTCCTTCTTCTCTCCTTTGGTGGGTACCAGCTGGGGGCTACGTTTCTTCTTCAATTTTGTCTTTTTCAGCATGGCATGGTTCTCTTTCCCTGGGACTCCTGCCCCTCATTAAGGAGTCTTGGAGGACAGTTTGGCCTTCTCCAAGGTCATCCTGTCTTTCATGGTTCATTAAATTAACCACACAGGGAGTGTGCCGCCATGCTGGACTTGTGGTTATTTTTCATGTAATAAATAAAGATCCTTTGTGTGACTCTCTGGGGCCTGTCCCAGGCCGAGTCCTCCTGTTGCTCAGTCGCTCCCACTGTCCCCATGGTAACTACAGATGGTCAAAGGCCGTGGCAGTGGTGGGTGGTGCGCTCGGCCTTGATGTGGAACTGTAATAATATGGGGAACCTGGACACATTAAAAAAAAATAACAACAACACTGCTGGTCAGAAAGGAAAATTGCACCATAGCCTTCCCTGCATCTGCTGACCTTTAAGACAACACAAGTTAATCATTCATTTCTCTGGCCTATCTGATCATCAAAGATTAACTCCTCTCCAGCCCTATTTCCTCCTTCTCTGGCCTCACCTTTGAGTTTCTGGCCAGAATGAGAACAGTGGCTTCTTGCCCCTTCCCCCTATGGCTACTCTGACCTTCAACACCCTCATTGCAGGGAGAGGGCAATAGAAAACAATTACATGTGGAACCCCAAAGAATCAAGTGCACTGAGGGGTCATCGGGATCCTCCCTAGCCTTGCCCAAACAGTGCCAGGACAGAGAGCCTTCTCTCTTAAGACCCAGGGAGATTAGACTGCTGCGGGGTCAAAGGGGATCTGGGCTTGACGGCCCTTAAGGTGAGGCTCTGCACACCTGCAGGATGGACAGCCTGGGGAGGCTCAGTGGGAAGGTGCCTGAACCCTGGTATGTCTCATTGCCCTCATCTTTTCTGGTTAAATTGAATGGAAAGGTGGGTTGGAGTTGAACTCATCTGGCAAACAGGGCCCAGGTCTGCCACCTTTCAAGTTATTTCTGGAATACAAGGAGGTAACGGGAAGAGTGGGGGTCTTGGGGAATGGATGGTTCCAACCTGCAATGGTGCCTGTGGGGTCGGCCATCCTTGGGTCACTGCTTCTGTCTGGCTCAGGTTTGCTCTGATACCCCAAAGGCCACCACTCAGGGAGGCTCTAGTGGGATCCCTCAAGTCCCCATTGGTGGCGTTTTGCTTTGCTGGAAAGCTTATCTTCCCAGTCCAGGACTCCAGGACAAGAGAGGGGTGAAGAGAAGCCTGAAAACTCACTGAAGCTCACTCTCTGGACTTTGACCCTGAATACTGCCAGCATCTCAGGCTAAATATGGGGAACGTGGTGGAACAAAGGATTTCTGTGTAAGGGTTTGGTGCTGAATCATGAGTATTTCGGAGCCACTTAGATGGTTAATGGGGGCTACAGGCTGGCATTCTTGAAATCGGCTCCCAGGAAGGAGAGCAGTTGCATTCTGGCAGGGTGCCCAGCGTCAGTGTCTGCACTGTGGGACTGTAAGCCGTGGAGGCAGGAGGTCCTCTCTTAGGCTTTTCTCAAGTCCTCCCCTGCCCTCCCCTTCAAGGCCTGAGCCCTGAATCTTACACAAAACAAAAATTTAAAAGACACGGCCTTAAGAAGCAGGAGGGAAACCAATGCCTGGGAACCTCTGGACTTCTGCCCTCTTTCCCCAAACAACCAGGTACACTGCCCTCCTGCTGCCTTCTTCCATTACAAACACCACCACCTCCCAGGCTGTCTGTATAATCTGAGGCCTCCCAGCTTTCAGGTAATCTTTGACCCACCCTTGCCCCCCACGACACCATCCATCTTGCCCAGCAAAGGCCTGGGCGGCCCCAGGGACTTACTCAGCAAGCTGGAGTTGGGGAAGCGCCAGGCCTCGCTGTAGGAGGAGTAGGGGGTGTGGCCATAGGCATTGCCAGAGTATTCACTTCCTGTTGGAGGCACACAGGGGAGAGGCCTGTGAGGTGAAGGGCACCAGTGCAGGGCTGGGGTGTGGGGAGGTCTGCAGGGCTGGCAATGGGCAAGCTCAGGAATGGTGGGGGAGACAGTTGGAGCCATGGCAGGGACAGTGGAGCTCAGAAGGTCCCTCTATCATCCCTTTTGGAACCCATTGGTCTGGATAATTTGGGGCAGTGTCCTTTTCCGTAGGTACTGGAGGCACTGGTTTGACACACTACAGCCCTCCCAGGAGGCCCAGAAGGTAGATGTTATAACTACCCCCATTTTCCAGATGAAGAAACTGAGGCTCTGGGATCTGCAGAAGCTCCCAGAGCTGGAGGGTTTGGTGGAGTTAGGAAACTGTGCTGTGACTCTAGGGCCCAGGGACTAACTGCTCCTTCTGCTGCCTGGACCTTTTGCCGAAGGGCTCTTCTGGGAGGGCCCCACTGCAGGGGTATGGGGTTAGGCACCAAAGAGGAAATCTGTATATAAGAACCTTTTAGCCTCCGTAGGTATGAGTGTGTGTGTATGCATGGGGGGCTGAGGGGAGGTGTGAGGGTTAAGAATGGGACAGGAGGGAGAGACCCAGAGGGCACCCACCTCCCGGGAAGCTGCGTCCTGGGACTTGGAGTAGTTTGTTGTTCCATCCTGAGTCTGCCACTTTAAGCAAACTCAATGTATAAATTTACACAAAGTAAATCAGATCACCTCCTTCTATTAATAGAGCCTTGACTTTTCCAAAGGAATTATTTACAGATGAAATTAGTTAAGAATTCCCTGACATAACACAAACAAAGTCAAGCTGACCACCACAGCTACTACCGGTGCTTGGTGTAGAGCTTAAGGTTTGTAAAGCACTTTCCCACACATTATGATCTTTTATTCTCACAACTACCCTATGAGGTACTCATGGATACCAATTTATAGAAAAGGAAACTGGAGTGCAGCATGATTAAGTAGTTTGCCTCAAATCACATTGTTGTTAAATGTCAGAGTAGAACTCGACCTTAGGGCTCTTGACTCTAAATTGCAGATAATCCCTTTATTCACTTACAAGATAATTCCATTTACAAAGCTAGATTCCTGCCAATCCTGAGACTCAATGAACGTCCACCCAGCCTTTCAGAAACTCACCTACAATTGTGAGCTACGTGGTTCTGAGTTTGCTTCTCAGATTCTCTGGACGGGTTGCTCGAAACTCCCTGACTCTGGAACTGACCTGTCTAGAGTCAAATCCTCACTTCCCATTTCCTGGTTCTGTAACCCTGGACAAGTCACTTAGCCTCTCTGAGTGAGTGACTTACAGGTGAGCCTTGGTTTCCTCATCTATCAAGTGGGCCAAACAATTATCCCTCTCTCATTTGGTTTAATGAGAATAAAATGAGAAAATATGTATTAAATGCTTAGCACCATGCTTCAAATATATAGGGAGTGCTCAATACATATAAGCTTTTATTATTTTCCCATTAAACAGGTGCGAAAATAAAGCTCAGTGAAGGCTTAAATCAGTCATTCAACCAGTCTTAAGGCCTGGGTTGGGGTTAGTGGGAGCTGCTTTACTGCCAGACAAGTAGGTGTTTATACAGGAAGAAGAGAGATGAAGAGGAGGAGCCTGAAGCAGAGAAAGGCTACTGGATCCTTTCCTTGTCTAGGAAGTCAATGACAGATAAGAACACAGTAAGAAAGTTCCTTAGGGGCAGAGACTAAGTCTAACGTAAATCAAGCAAAAAATATGGGTAAAAAAAGGAAGGGGGTAAAGAAGTAAAAAAGCAAAGCAAAAACAAAAAACAAAAAACAAAAATACCCTAAGACATAAGTGAATCTAAACCTCTCTTTAACAGATGAAAAACTAAGGAATAATCTACTCTAAACATCTATTTAACAGATAACACATCTGTTACATAGGGAAGTAAAGACATTTGGCCAAGCCATGTGTTCAGTGAAAGCCTGAACTAGAACCCTGGCCCTGTCCTTCCACACCGGTGCTCTCTCTTGCATCTCCCAGTGCCAAGTGCCCTCTGTTTAGCCCAGGTCTCCCGGGTTTCAGCCGATTCTCTATTGGCCACATAGCAAGGGCCCTAGCACCTTTTACTACACCCTACCCAATGGCAAACACAGCAAGCTCTAAAGGACAAAGGAGAGAAGTGGAAAACACAATGTGTTTACCCTCTCATTTTGTCACTCATTCATGCATTCACTCACTCACCCACTTATTTATGTATTTAACTACCATTTACCGAGTACCTGAGTCACATGGAACCTGGGGCAGGGGATGAGGCTCGGTAGGTGCTACACACCTAGGTGTGGCATCTTCCTGTCACCAGATGTGCCTACCTGCCTGCAGTCACAGCAGATGAAACGTCTCCGCCCCAATGAAAGGCCAACCCTGCCTCTTTGCTCTGCATTCTACCCTACTCACCTTTCCAAGGATTTGGCCGCTCCAACGATCCCATTTTCTGTTTCATCAGTCTCTCCCTTCACCCTGAAAACATACTCTGCTATCTTCTGTCTTTAAAAAATCCCCTTCCTATCCCCACATTCCTCTCTAGTTACCAGTGCCTTTCTCTGCCCCATGGTCTCTGCCTTCACCTTCTTATCCCTTCCCATCAGGCCAACTCTGATCCCCTCAAGTCCCCACAATCTCTAACTCCATCATACCAATGGTCGCTTCTATATCCACAATTCCCTTGACCGTTTAGCTCATCTCTCTCTCCAAGCCTTTGGGTTTGTGATGACCAGTCTTCTGTTTGATTTGTAACTCAGTTGTCTTTCCTACTCATTCTCCTTGCTGTTCCTTCTCTGTTGAGCTCTAAATTGTTGAAGAACCCCAGGCTTGGTTTCTAGTAGTCTCATCATTAAATGACAGCTTTGTGCAATGGCTGAAATTTATACTCCAGTCAGGATTCTTTCCTGGCTTCAGACATACATGGTGTACCTACAAACTTATTATAAAACTGGGTATTTAGTAGGCATCTCAATCCTAACATGGCCCAAAAAACTCTTGATTTCCACTTGCCATCTACTACATCACTTCCCCTGCTGGTCTCCCATATATATACTTGCCACCATCATCCATGCCCCAAACCTACAAATGATCCTTGTTTCATCTATTTTCTCATCCTGACAGCCCATCCACCAGCAAGGTTTGCTGGCTTTGCAACCAAGATATATTTTCAGGGTTTCTTTTTTCCTCCTTCACTGCTAATTCCCTAGCTCAAGCCGCTGTCATCTCTTGCAAGAACTACTGAAACTGTCCCCTAACTGGTCTGTGCTTTCTCTCTTGACTGTGTACAATTCATTTTCCTAGAAATCAGAGTCGCCTTTTCAAACTCGACCCAGCCACTACCGATTACTTGCTACCGTGCTAAACTAGTTCCTGCCTTAGGCCCTTTGCACTTGCTGTTCTTTGGGCCAGGGATGGTCTGCCCCAGTTTATCACTTGGATGGTCACTTTGAACACCTTCTCAGAGAGGTCTCCCCTGACAACCCAATCTAGAGTAGTTATCTCCTCTCCCTGTGGCTCTTTATTACATCATCCCATTTTATTGTCTTCACAGACAATAAATTATTATGTTTATTCATTCGTTGACTTATTTACTGTCCATTTCTCTTCACCATTAGGTTATAAGCTCCAGCAATAAAGGAATCTGACTTATTCACTGCTGTATCCCCAGCATCCCATACAGTAGACCTTCAACCAGTATTTGTTAAGTGAAAAAGTGGTGAATGAATGGATGGAAGGACGCAAGGATGAATGAAAGTGTGAATGATGGAAGGATGGATGGGTGGAAAGATGGATGGGTGGAAAGATGGATGGAAAGACAGATAGATAAAAGGATGTATGTATAGAAAGATGGATAGATTAATGGAGGAATAGATTGAAAAGGGGATGAAAGATGGATATGAGAGGATGGATGGCTGGAAGAATGGATGATGAAAGGATGGATGGAAAGATAGATTAAAGGATAGTTCTGTGAAAAGATGAATGGATGAATGAATATGGATGGAAAAATAAAAGGATTGATGGAAAGATGGATGGATGGAAAGATGGATGATAGATAACTGGAAAGACAGATGAATTAAAAGATGGATGGAGGGGCCGGGCACGGTAGCTCATACCTGTAATCCTAGCACTTTGGGAGGCAAAGACGGGCAGATTGCCTGAGGCCAGGAGTTTGAGACCAGCTTGGCCAACATGGTGAAACCCTGTCTCTACTAAAAATACAAAAATTAGCCAGGCATGGTGGCAGGTCCCTGTAGTCCCAGCTACTGGGGGAGGGGCAGGGGGCTGAGGCAGGAGAATCGCTTGAACCTAGGAGGCAGAGGTTACAGTGAGATAAGATCATGCCAGTACACTCCAGCCTGGGCAACAGAGCAAGACTTTGTCTCCAAAAAAAAAAAAAAAAAAAAAAAGATGGATGGAAAGATGGAAGGATTGGTGGAAAGGTAGAGGATGACAGGATGGATGACGAAAGATGGAAGGATAGATGGGAAAATGCATGGATATGTGGAAAAATGTAGGGGAAGATGAATGAGTGGAAAGATAGATGACTGGATGGATCCATATATCTGGAGCTGCTGGTTCTGCTCTAGAACTGGTTGAGAATCATTGACTGTTAACGGAGTCAGAACAAAAAATAAAATAAAATAAAATAAAACAAAAAAAAAACAAAATAAAAGAGAAACAGAAGGTGAATAGACAAGGGAAATCTGTGCTAGCCCTTTTCCTGTGCTCCTCTCTTGTAGCCTATGTCTTTATTTCTGGTATGGTAGGAGGCAGTATGGTGTAGTGGAAAGAGCCTTAGACGTGAAATTGAAAAACCCGTGTTTGCACAACTCAGCCACTGAGTATGATTATGACCCTGAGCACACCACTTTGCTGTTGCTTCAGTTTCCTTATCCATAAAACTGGGATAGTATTAGCCTCTCAGTCTTCTGGTCAGGGTAAAATTAGAAATAAAGTTATGCATATTTGAATGGCTACACATGCAGAAGTACATAATAAGTGATCCTTCCTTTCATAATCGATTAAAGAATGTCTTTGGCATGCCTTGCTTTAAGCATTTATCATGTACCTAACATGCAGGCAGTAGGTGCTCGATGAACGTTTATTCACTTTAATTGCAGGAATCCCCATTCGATCAACTGGGAGATTGCAGGTGGTGGTAAGAGACGGACATATAATTTTTCCACAAAAAAAAATTCCTTAAGAATTCATTTGCGCAATGCTATCCCTAGGAATCCAAGTGATTCATTTAAATAGTACTGCATTTTCTAAAAAAGGATTTTCATGGAACTCACTGGGAGCCCAACTGTGTGGGACAAGGTCCCTCCTTTGTGGATTTTACTTGCAGTCAGTGTCCTAGTTGTGCTATTTTTTTTTTCTTTTTCTTTTTCACAGCCTCCACTCAGGATTCTTTCTGGAAACAACCTGGGGGACTTTGATGAGAGGCCCAAGCCTGCCAGCTACCTCACAGGTCAGACTCTGGGCCCCAGGAACCCCTTGCCCTGGGCCTGCCCTCAGGGAATGATTCATAATTAAGAGAAAAGCCTTGTGCTTTATGTTTCTTCCTCCTCCTCTAAGCAGGCGGCAGGGGAAGGTGGAGGGGTTGGAAGGGGAATGGGGGGAGCAGACTGGAGCCTGGGATTTTGATTGAGAGGCCCCATTATCCACACTCTTAAAAAAATAACCGAATCTTTTCCTTTTTTATCTTGACCAATCTCATTTCACGCTCCAGAAGAGGAAGGGAGGGAGGGAGGGAGTCTGGGGCCAGGAGGGAGAGAGGAGTCAGTATTCTGTATTTTCAACGCTGCATTAAGCACATCGCCACGGTAACCAGGCAGCAACAAGTGCCAGCTCAGCAGGTTCCCAGGGAGCACAGAGCCTTTTTCCCTCCTTCTTTCTCTCCCTCCCTTCCCTCTGCCCAGGAGATCCCAGCCCACCTGCCTCTGCATAGGGTGCCCAGAGTGGGTGGCTGGCAAAGATTAACTCCTGCCGGCAAGGAAGGGAAGCAGGCCTAGGTAAATATGCCAAGTCTCTGGGGTCAGAGCCAGAGAGACTGGCCTAGGGCTGGCATGGGGGTCACAGATGCCTTGTGTTCAGACCTCTTTCCAGAAATTCCAGGTCCCAGGCCTTTTTGACCAGTGAAAATGGCTCAATTATGTCTCATCCATCCCAAAGTCTTTCCTACACAGCTCCTAAACAATTGAGACTTGCCCAAGGAAACTCCCATTATCTTCGTTTGTTCAGATCTTGTCACCTTGAATCATCATTGGATGATGACTGGCAGACAAAGAAACCCAAATGACTGGCAGGCAGGTTCCAGGACGGTTCAAATGAGGATGGAGAGCTACTCCAGGCTCGTTTCATCCTCTATAGTACTCTTAGAGTACCTAGAACCCGGGTCCTATCCATGCAGGGTTTAGAGAAAGTGAGATGTGAAGCATATATTTCATCATCATAGTCATCATCATCATCATTATCATCATCATCAATACCCTTCCGATTCAGATTTTACAGAAGGGGAAAACGGGTTCATCAGAGTTAAATCACCAGGAGACCAGCACTGCTTGAGGGTAGGGCTCATCTTCCACTCACAGCGTTTTGGGGCCCTTGAAGTGCTCTCCATTTATGCTCACTGATTCACTGGAAGAAGTGGTGGAGCTTGGATTTGAACACAGGTCTGTCTCAGCCCCTCCCTTTTCATCATGGAGGGTAATGTGGCAGGCCTGGGAAGAAGGAGGCCGAGCTGGGCGAATTAAACAGGGAGTCAGGACTGCACTGGGATATTGTCTCCAGGCATTTACAAGATGCCCCCTTTGGTCCATCCTTCAATGCCCTTCGGGAAGTCTATGAATAAGGCACAGAACGCCTCTTGCCCCTCGTGTCCCACCTTCCTCCAATACTTCCTCTGTGCAGTGCTCCCCTCCCTGCCAGCCCTCTCCTTACCTGCCACCATGCCTGCGATGGCAGAGGAGGCATAGCTGCCCTGTCCGCTGGTGGGGATGTGGGGTGGGTATCCGGGCAGCGTGGGCCCCACCATCTCTCGCCCTGGAAAAATAGAGCAAAGAGTCATCAGTTGGACCGTAGGGGCTCCCATATGTATCATCTCACTCTCCTGAGGCTGTCTTCCCCCATGCCATTCCCACCCACTCTACAGTCATTCTCCAAACCCACTTCCTCCTGCCCCCTCCTCTTGTAAGCCCAAGTTCTTGTCACCTCTGTCTGGTCTTCTGCAGAACAGAGGCTCCACCATGCAGGGAGCACTTGTTACTGCAGTCTCACACTGTTCCCTGTTCTCCAGTGGTTTTGTTTACGTGATTGTTATCTTATTAATCCACAAGAATGTCCTGGTATTGAAGGCTGAGGCTATGTCATCTGTTCTTTGTTATCCCCGACAGTAGCCTGCAGAGCAGTGGGTACAGCTGGCCTCCATAAATACATTTGAGGCCACTTGACTCTGAGCTCATCCCTTTCATTCCTGGCTCTGAGGAGTACCAAGAATAAGACCCTATGAAGGGATGGCATGTATGTGGCCCACTAACTCATCACTATTTTTTTGGGGGGGGCCTGTGACAGACATTGCTAATCAACCACTAAACCATTTCCCACTGAGTAGAGGGGGCCTTCCAAGTGGATGCAATCTATCAGAGTTGCAAGGTACAGGAAACCGATTGGCTAACCCCAACCTGGAAGGAGATGTGGCTGAGATATTTCACTTTTGCATGACCATGAGCCACATATCTGTCAATTCTATTTTGAAAAGAACCATTTTTAGCAAAACAGACACCAATCTCTCTGTTTCTCTATGGCTTGTGGGTCATATTCCAACCTTGGTGATACCAAATCAGCTCTGTAAAGACCTCATTTCCCAGCTCTGCTTCTCCCCTACGTCGAGAAATCACTTTCCCATTCCGGAGGCCCCACCTGACCTGGCGAGCATCTCCCCATCTACTACATATAACAATGAACATAAACATGATCCCTTGCCCCTGCCCCTCTTCTATTGCTCCTGTGTCCTGCAGGCCCCAACCAGACTCTCCTTCACCCTGAGATTCTTGGCAAGGTGACAGTACACCTGGTAATATTTACAGAGTTTCTCAGTCTCAGCAATATTGGCATGTTAGGTGCACAATTCTTTGCTGCAAGAGGCTGTCCTGTGCATTGTAGGATGTTTAGCAGCATTTCTGGCCCCTATCCAGTAGATGCCAGCAGCAGTTTTCACCCAATGTGACAACAAAAATATCTCCAGACATTACCATATGTCCTCAGCAGGAGGTAGTAGGGGCAAAATTGCTGCTGGCTAAGAACCATTATGTTGGACTATGACTGTTTTACCCAAATGCCTTCTGCCTCTTCCATGCTGGAGGCTGCTTTTTCCTCCCAAAACCTGTGTGGGTTACTGTGAGCTCCTGTTAACCAACTTACCAAATTCATCTCCTCTATGGTACTGCTTGTCCAACTTTCCGCCCATCAGTCCCCCCCAGGTCCTTCATACCTCAGCCCCTTCAAGGGGTGCCTGGTCATGACAGAAGGGAAGGAAGGCCCCATGAAATCCTGTTAAGTTGCCAATACTACAGTGACTACCTCCTCCTTATCTCTCTTTCTGGAGATTCCCCAAAGACAATGTTCATTTGCTAAATACTTATTGAGTAAGTACTATGTTCTAGACACTTTTCTAAGCACTTGAGTATATAGCAGAAAGCCAGAATGCTAAATTAGCAAGGCCAGGCACTAAATCAAGAAGGGACATAGGCTGGGATAGGCATTTGGAGCCAAGCCCAAGGGGTCAATGATCAGGCACACTCAACTTCTGCGCTTCCTCTAGAGGGAAGGGCCTGGGAATCAGAGGGCCTGGGGTCCTTATACTGCTTTTGTGGCTGGTTTTCTGAGTGCCCTTAGACAAGCCTAGTATGTGCCCCAAGTGTCAGTTTCTTCAAATGCAAAATGGGGGGGGGGAACCGTAGCTGGAGGCACCTTATTACAATTTCTATGAGGTTATCTGTATAATTCAGAGCCAGGGTTTCATGCTACAGGTGGACACTGATTAGTGCAATGGACACATTCTAGAAATGGTTATATGCCAATGAACTCCTACAGAATAAGAGCCATCAGTGTTCATTGTTTAAAACTGTGCGAATGTTTTGGTAAACCGGAACACCACCTTCTAATTTGTCTGACTATTCCTGCAGTGTCCAGCTGTGCTTGGCGCTGGACCAAATGGGGTGAAACCCACTAGCATTCCACAGGTGGGCTCAGTTCACCTGACACAAGGTCATCAAGGGAACAAATGAAGGGTTGGAAACACAGGAGGGGAAAAGAGGATTTTAAGATATTTAGATGTAGAGGGAGAAATATGCAGAAGCTATACTGAGATAAAATCTGAGCTTTCTGTGAAGAATACAACACAATAGACCCTCAAACTCAGCCCCCTTGGCCCTGAGATAAAGCACCGGCTAGGCAAGAGGGAAGGAGTGACAGGAAGTCTGTGAGAGCAGGAGGAGCATAGGGCAGGGACAGGTGGTGAGGGAGGGAGTGATGGAAGAGGGTGGCAGATTCAGGCCTGCTTCCTTCTTTTCTCTTCCCTCCCTACCTCCTCCTCTGAGAGAGAGAGAGAGAGAGAGAGAGAGAGAGAGACAGAGAGAGAGACAGAAAGGGAATTCTAGATCCAGGCCGGACCCTGGATGAAAGGTAGCCACTTAATTCTCTGAACCACATCTTCCTGCCTGTCACATAAGGAACTAGTTTAGATTTCAGCTTGTAAACTGGATTCACCTGACTACTTGATTGGCTGGTAGGGGCTTCCTGGCACCCAGTGTTGAGAAGGATTCTGAGGCAGCTTGTGTCTGCCATGATCGGGGTGGGGAGCAGTGGGAAGTGGTCTTGGCTCTCAGGTCACCTGTTTGCTGGTGCTGACCTCGTGCCCTGCAGGGCTGTTTCTGGCCTGGCAGCCTGCGGCCCCGCGCTCCCCCTCTCCCCGCCCTCATCCTGAACCTACTGCCTCTTGAGCCTAGCAGAGTAGCAGGCAGAGTTCCAGAGCATATACTCCCCTTACAATACAACTTAATGTGGTCCACAGGTGCCCCCACGGGGCTCTACCGCATAAGAAGTAGCCCCCACATTGCTCTTATGAATGAAATTCATCAGCCTCACTCCCCTATACTCTAAGATTTTAATCTTCATCTCCCCTCAGTCACCTAAGGTCTTCCCAATGGGGTAGAGGCTTCTGAATCGGACATCAGAACAGATGCCTGAGGCTTCCTCCCATGAAAGCTGGTCTTCCTGGAAAGATTGGTAAGACTTTCTTCAGCATAGCTCTCACCAAGACTGTGGCACCATAAACTTTCCCAACAGCCCTACAAAACTCTTTGCTCCAACTGCTTAAATACATAGTTTCTTCCAAAAAGCCAAGAAGCTTGCAAGTCTTTTTAGAAACAAAACCACAGAAGCCATGGGGTGGAAACTGCATCAGGGCCTAACCGTGCCCTCTTATCTACTTCTCTGTTTTTAAGACTCTTCATCATAAAATATCCTAGCTATGAATTCCATCTCCTCTACACCCACATATCCGTCCAATGTGGTCCTATTTTTAAGAAGTTGTCAGAAAGCACAGGCCCATGTTGACTGGCTATGGAGTGGGGTTCTCTAAGAAAACTCTAGCTCCCTCCACACCTGGAAATATTGGTAAATATTCTAAATATTGGTAGAGACCAGAATCATAAAGCTGTTGCCTGAAGGAATTCAGAGGGTAGAGGTGATTTCAGACTATTTTATTTGCCCCCTTTGAAGTCTGCCCTCTATGTAACCCCTTTTCAATTCCTTATCTCGTTCTGATAGCAAAGAGAATTTATGGCAACCCAGAAATCTCTTTGGCAGAACTAAATATAATTTTGTACAAAAGGATGGAGGAGGGGAATGGACTCTTTGATGATAAAACCTAGCTCACAGCTTTCCTTTGAGCTGAGCTGGAGTCAGTCCCAGAGCAGCTGGGACCAGGACGGCCTCGACATTGCTGTCTTGGCCAGTGTGTTGGGACTCCAGACCAGGGTTTCCAAAGGGAACTGGCGGCAATGTTAGGGGCACTCTTGTTACTCCCCAAACCCTGCTGTTTCCTTGTTCTTGGCTGACTGGGGACGAGCTGAGACTCAGAAGGATAGTCACGTTGGAAATCACACTATCAGAGCCACTGGGCCGAAAGAAGTGACCCAGAGAAAAACACTATGAAGCAGGTAAAGGAGTTGCAGGAGGTGGCAGCGAGGGTCCTTGGGAGTCACTCAGAGGGGTGCAGAAGATTGATGCAGGTTAAAGCTGAACTGACTGTGGAATGAAAACTTACTGTGTCCTCTTCCTTAGTCTGCAGCATTACCTAGGAATAATGTGGTCTCAGCTTCCTTCTCTTTCTTTTCTTTTTTTTTTCTTTTTTGAGATGGAGTTTTGCTCTTGTTGCCCAGGCTGGAATGCAATGGCATGATCTTGGCTCACTGCAACCTCCGCCTCTTGGGTTCAAGCAATTCTCCTGCCTCAGCCTCCCGAGTAGCTGGGATTACAGGCATATGCCACCACACCTGGCTAATTTTGTATTTTTATAGAGACGGGGTTTCTCCATGTTGGTCAGGCTCATCTCGAACTCCCGACCTCAGATGATCTGCCCACCTTGGCCTCCCAAAGTGCTGGGATTACAGGTGTGAGCCATCGGGCCCGGGCTCCTTTACTTTCTTTCAAATTCACCTCTTCTTGGGAAGGTCTGCAGCCTCCTGTGCTCTTGGAACCATTCCCTTCCTAACCTTCCCCCACCCCATCATGTCCTCCCAGCCCTCTCACCATGGCTCAGCCATGCGTTAGGTATTGAGGTCCAGTCTTGACCAGCGGCCTCAGGTGGACAGTCTGCAAGGAGCTCCAGGCCAACACTCTGAGCTCAGCATGGACACCAGCCATCCCCTCCCTTGTGCCTGAGCCGCTTTCTGACTTGCTTCCTACTCTTGGCCATTTGCCTGGACCCCAGATCCTCCAAGCCTAGCACTCTTCACTCTTTTCAGAGCCTCTGCCTCTGTGCTGAATTGTCAACCCTTGGGCTAAGGGGCCCTGTGACCAGCCAGCAACCTTCAAAGTGCTCACACCTGCACTTCAGCATCATCTGGGCCTGGGTTGGGGGCTACCAGCCTGAAGGATATGCCGATGCGGCATATTTGGCTGCCTGCTGCCTGCATGACCACCTGGTGTCTGCTGCCAGCTGTTTTATCCCATGCATTGGGTGACCTCTCAGTCCTGCAGTTGGCCTAGACAGTGGGCGTGTCCACTAAATTAACAGCTGACAGTAGTTGGAGGCATCACCTCTGATTGACTGCATGTTGACAGGGGACGCTAACAGGATGACGGAGGGGGACAAAGTGTGGGGGCTTTGGGAGTAGGGAGTTTGCCCTGGGCTGTTCCAATTACACTTTACACCACAGCTTGTGTCTGCACTGCGATGCATCCATCCGCTTCCAGTTGCCCTAAATCCTTCCCTCTCCTTCAGCTGGTCCTGCCAAGCCTCTCCATGGCTTGTACAGCAATTGCTCCCCATCATCATGGGCACCACCACACCCTCACCCCTTGCCTACCCTGTGACCACCCCCAGCCCCAGCCTGCCATTCTCAGAAGACATGCAGGCTTGTGTAACTCCCTGTAACTGACATGAGCCTCTTTTTCTCACCCCCTCCCCTCTCTACCCTTCCCCTCCTTTCCTCTCCACTCTCCTCTCATTCCCCTCCCTCCCCTCATCCCATTTTCTCTGGCTGACATAATTTTACTCAGCTCACAGGTTTTTCTACTGTAATCACTTTGGTCAAAACAAATGACCCATCTCTGCTGACTTCACCCTCTTGAATTCTTGAACTCCAAGTCAACATTTTATTCCTCGCTTTAGATCCTTAACACCATCTCTCTGCCCACACACTGGATGTCCCTCTCTTCTAAGAAAATTTCTCACATTAGGTGCAGGGATGCACAGAGAGGGGGGAAAAAAAAACCCAGGTGCCAGCCAGAAAGAAAATGTAGAGCCAGTTATAAAAAAGGGTCCATGGGCCGGGTGCGGTGGCTCAGCACTTTGGGAGGCCAAGATGGGCAGATCATGAAGTCAGGAGGTCTAGACCATCCTGGCTAACATGATGAAACCCGATCTCCACTAAAAATAAAAAAAATTAGCCGGGTGTGGTGGTGCGCACCTGTAGTTCTGCTACCCGGGAGGCTGAGGCAGGAGAATCGCTTGAACCCAGGAGGCGGAGGCTGCACTGAGCTGAGATCACACCACTGCACTCCAGCCTGGGCAACAGAATGAGACTCCATCTCAAAAAAGAAGAGTCCATGGACTTGTATCTCGTGACCCTGTGGTAACTCTGGGCTGGCGGAGGTTTTGCTCTGTTGGTGCAGTGGTTTTCAAGTCCAAGGGCTTTCTAGGGGCAGGACCCCCCTTCTAAAAGAGCAGTTCTTCAGGGGTCTGGTGAGCATACATGGCTTCTGTAAAAGGCTTCATTTCAAGAGAGCATTGAGAGGCCCAAATTTGAAACCACTGGTCCAGATGGACTGTCTGACTCTGGGCTGCCTCTGTGACAGGTCTCCCACGCCCCACTCCCGCACTGGCCTCTGCTCTAGCATTTCAAGGTCATCAGGGTACGAGGGTGTGGGAGGTGAGGAGGCATTTACTCTGTCACTAAATACCCACACTCCTTGGAGACAGTGCCAGTATTAAAGAGATTCCTCCAATGCTGAACTGAGAGCTAGCTGGCTTCCTCCCTTGGTCCTGGGTCCCAGCTGGGCCCACATCTAAAATAGTCCTATCCCTGTGGAAGCCCTTAAGGTATCTGATGACCATATGGGTCTCTCCTCCCCACTTTCACTGCCCATCAGGCCCTCTCCAAGCCAAGCCAAGCACTTGACTCTTAGCCATTCCTCAGACCCTGGCTGGATGGGCGAAGGTCCTTCTGCCAGGAGACCCAGCTCCCCTTGAGGTCTGACTCACGGAGTGCAGGTCCAGGCCTCAACCAGTTGCAGATGGTGCTCCCACCCAGAGACTTCGGCAGGGACCTTCTCCTCCCTGGGCCAGTTTCCTCAGCAGCACAAGAAGTTTGCTCTAGAGGCTCCCTCGGGTGCTTCCAGATTTACTTATTTTTATTTATTTATTTTTTTCCTTTTTGAGATGGAGTCTTGCTCTGTCACCCAGGCTGGAGTGCAATGACGTGACCTCAGCTCACTGCAACCTATGCCTCCTGGGTTCAAGCAATTCTCCTGCCTCAGCCTCCCCAGTAGCTGGGATTACAGGTGTCTGCCACCACACCTATCTAATTTTTTGTATTTTAGTAGAGATGGGGTTTCACGATCTTGGCCAGGCTGGTCTTGAACTCTTGACCTCATGATCCACCTGCCTCCACCTACTAAAGTGCTGGAATTACAGGCGTGAGCCACCGCGCCCGGTCAGTGCTTCAGCTTTAAATATTTTGAGGCAGTTGAGGTTCCTGATGGGAGGTCCCCCACTCCTCCTCTCCCAAGTTGTTGAATCACTGAATTTATCATGTTTAACAGATGTCTGACTGTCCTCCTGGTGATGCTGTTAAGCTAGGTATGAAGATAGCTACATCATGGAAACACAACTGGGACTGACCCTTGGCCTTTTTAGAAATTTGATCCTGAAATTGGTTCCAAAAGTCAACGCCTTTTTCCCTCCAAAATGTTCATTTTCCCCTCTATTTATTTATGCATTTACCAAGACCAAGTGTTCCTATGTTACAGCACCTGGCTCCCGGTCTTAGGGTTCCTGCTTTTCCGTGGGGTCTTGGGGTGGTGTATCCCACTTTCCGGCACCCCTAGAGCATCCGCCCCTTCCGAGCATGTCTTCCCAGGCACGGAGACCCTCATGTTGGCACCTCCAAAAGTTGCCGGAGGAATTAGGGAATAGGGTGGTGGTGGACAAGATTGGGGCCAGAGAGGGGGCTGGTGGTCGGCCCTGAGGACCCCCCTCCCACCCACCGCAATGCCTGCATGGCCCCGGGACCTCCCTGTCATACCTGAGAGGAGGGCCTGGCCCGTGAACTGCCCGTACACGGAGGCAGCATGGGGAAAGGCATTGAAGGGCGGGACCGAGGCACCGGCTGGGACCCCGGAGCCGACTTGCTGCAGATCCAAAAAGGCGGAGCTAGATAAAGAGGAAGGGGTGGAGCTAGAACTGGACACCTCGGGGGTTTCCTGCTTTATGGCGAAGGGTGAATGAGGATCTGCCGGAGGGAGGGAGACAACAAGGAGAGAGGGGTGTGAGATGATGGGGCGGGAACATGCACAAACCAAGCCATGAGATGTGGAGGGTGCGGGGCGCGGGGCAGGCAGGCCCAGCTGCTCTCAGAGTCTGGGTTGGGGAGCCAGGGCCCACGAGGTGTGGCAAGGAGGGGAGAGAGAAGCTCGACCTCCCTGCTGTGCTTCTGCAGTGAAAATGGAGAGACTGGAAAGGAGTGTGTGCACCCGCCTCTCCCACAGGAGGGAGAGTGGAGGCCTAGGAGCGGCCTAGGACTGGAGGCACGACCCCTTTAATCCACCTTGAGGCCCAGCCAGCACAGCCCACCTCTCCTCTCCAGGCCAGGGCCCCACACACGTTCCACCTGACAGCCAGCCAAGCTCTGCAGTCCCCCGCCCTCCACCTGCCAGGGAGGCTCCAGGCATCATACCTGCCACCACAGGGTAGGTCTGGTGAGTCGACAGGTTGCGCCCCAAGGGCGTATTGGAAGGGGTCAGGGTGGCCTTCCCGTCGTCCAGGGTGCTGTTGAGCAAGGGCAGCGGGTAGAGGCCCTGGGGAGCAAAGAGAAGTCAGCCAACAGAGATGATCCGACAAGCCGACCTTCCTGCAGACCCTGAGCCTGTCTTAGGACTTAGCAGCCCTAATCTCCCCAGGAGATTTCCTCATCGTCCCCTTCTTCCTTTACGTTCTCAACTCCACTCAGCACATTTCATTCATGCTCATTGTCCTCCTGCATCCCGGGAATTCAAGGCCAGCTGGTGGCATGGGTGCTCCGGTGTGGGATAGAGGGTCTCAGCCAGAGGACTACACCCTGGCTAGATGGCTGGTCAGCTTCCTGGTTTCACCACACTGTTGTGACCCACAGAATACAGGACGGTGCCAAGGACTGGAGCAGTCTCCAACCGGACTGTTCAGGGTCCTTCCATCTGTGATTCTTCCCCAGATAGGGAACCCAGGCACAGAGGTTTAAGAAACTTGTCCCACTTCCGTATGGACCAAAGATAGGATTCAGACTTGAGGGATCAGAATGCCTCTGCTCTCAACCACTGTCCCAAACTGGGTGACATAAGGACCACTTCTTACATTTGCAAAGAGCTTACATCGGAGCTTTGCCTCTGTTGTCCTAGTAGCGTCCCCCAGCAGCCCAGTGACATGGGTGAGTAATATTATGTCTGTTATTGATTTTATATGTGGAGCCTGGGACTCAGAGAGGTAAATGGCCTAGTTTTGTGTAATGAAACTGAGACTAAACCCAGGATTTCGGCTGTGGACCCAGGTACTTTACCCATCACGTGGATTTCTTCTTTTCTCTCTCCACATCCAAACAAATAGAAGTGTGCAAGTTCAGCTTGAAAATGGTATTTAGAGTTTTTTTTTGTTGGAAACACTCTTTATCAAGTACCTGGGGGTCTTCATCAATAAGACCTCATTTTAAATGCCTCGTGGCCTCCCCTTGCCAGAAGCACAGCTGTGACCTTAGGTACTCGTTCTGAAAAGAACTTGTTTAACTAAAGGCAAGTGTGCCTCATCCTCACCATGGCCTCCTCCCACTGGGGAAGCAGATAGCACAGAAAAAAGAACACACCCATTCCCCACATACCTTCACACATGTCACGTACCTGCTACGTGAGATATGCAAAGCTGAATTCAGGGAATGCTCAGTGGTTACATAACAGTGCCACTAAAGGCAATTGTTTTCAGTGATTTCCATCAAGCTGGGTTCTGCAAAGATCCACAGCACTTTCCGGTTGCATGCTGGGCACTTTTGGAAGCTGCAGTCAATTCTGGAGGCCACCAGGGCACCATTAGCACATAGCAGCAATTACTGACTAAATGGTGCTCTGGTTCCATGCCTTCCAAGGGGGCTCACTTAGAGGCAGGGTGGAGTTGCTTAGGGCCTTTTTTTCTTTTTTTGAGACGGAGTTTCGCTCTTGTTGCCCAAGCTAGAGTGCAATGGCGCGATCTTGGCTCACTGCAACCTCTGCTTCCCGGGTTCAAGTGATTCCCCTGCCTCAGCTTGAGTAGCAGGGACTACAGGCGCGTGCTACCATACCAGGCTAATTTTTTATATCTTTAGTAGAGACGGGGGTTTCACCATGTTTGCCAGGCTAGTCTTAAACTCCTGACCTTGTGATCCGCCTGGCTCGACCTCCCAAAGTGCTGGGATTACAGGCGTGAGCCACCACACCTGGCCAGGGTCTAGGTTACTGAAATTGAAGAAAATACATAATTTCTAGAGAGTGTAAGAAAAGTTTAAAATGCTTTATGGATGTGTTGTTTTGACAACAAAATATCTACTCAGAATCCTATAGCTATTTCAAAATTCAAGTAACTTAAAAATACCTATATAGTCAAAATATTTTGGTGATTTTGTATTCAATAGCTGAAACTTCCCAGTGATTATTGGGCTTTTTTTTTTTTTTTTTTTTTTTTTTGGCTGGAATTGAACTTGAATTGGGGCAGAGCAGCACAATGCTTCAGAACTTCAGCAAGTCTGAGCCCTGGTTCTGCAATGACTTGCCAGGTAGCTTTAGTCTGCTTGACTGCTCTGAAGCTTAATTTTCTCACCTGTATGGGAGTCATAGACTCTATGAGGCTGATGGAAGCATTACATGAAATTTTATATACTTATACATAACGTGCTTAGCACCGAATACTTGGTGACAACAGATGCCCAGTGAGAGTTATCACAGATATTATTTCAGAATCATGTGAAGAGTCAGAAGCCACCAAATTCTTGATTTCTGTCAGTAAGCTGATATTCATATTCTGTTGATGTTTTTTGATGCATTTGTAAAATAGGGAAATAAGAGCTGTATGACTTCTAGCTATGTCTGGTCATGAAATAGCAACCAGGAATAACATGATGTTTCTGTTGAACACTTCCCCCTGCCCTTTGTTGTTGTTTTTTTTTCAGAGGGAGCCTTGCTGTGTCACCCAGGCTGGAGTGCAGTGGCGCAATCTTGGCTCACTGCAACCTCTGCCTTCCAGGTTCAAGTGATTCTCCTGCCTCAGCCTCCCGAGTAGCTAGGATTGCAGGTGCATGCCACCAGTTCTGGCTAATTTTTGTATTTTTAGTAGATATGGGATATTGCCATGTTGGCCAGGCTGGTCTCAAACTCCTGACCTCAGGTGACCCGTTCACCTCAGCCTCCCAAAGTACTGGGACTACAGGTGTGGGCCACCGTGCCTGGTCCCCCACTTGTTGATTTTACAGAAAAAATGGCTGTGTTACAACCTGTCCTAAGGTCAGGTATGAGTACTTGTGCTTCATTCTTGGCTCCCCAAGCCAGCGGGCCTTCCTATGCCCAAGTGAGAGAGCACGGAGTGTTACTTTGGCAGCACAGTCAGTTACCAGAGGTGGGAAAAGCAAAGGCCAGGCAGGACATGAGGGGCCCTTGCACTGGCTGGTTCTCCCTGCCCTTCACCACCCTCCAGGTGAATGACTGGGTGAGTAATGATTGACTGAGGAGGTAATGAATAATTTATAGACACTGCTGGACCTCAGTCTCCTCATCTGAAAGATGAGTGGTTGGAGAAGTTCAATGGTATTCAAATGCTTTTTTTTTTCAGTCTTCAAATACGTATTTACGTAGAGGCACCATATCTGAAGCAGGTGACAGTGGACCAGTCTGAATGAAATGAGGATGGGCAGGCCTGAGCTCCAAAACCTTCTGGTTGCCCAAGCCCTCCTTGTCTTGCTTGGCCTTGGATTATCTCCACACAAATGGAGAAACTGGATGAGGTGGTCACGGAGGTCTCTGCAAGCTCAAAGACTTTCTCATTCCAGGATCCCCCCTGTTCATATGCCAGCATGACATGGGGGTGCTCTGTAGTCAAGCAGGGTCCTTTGGGGGGCTTAGGGATGGAGTCAGGAAATGGCTCTGGGACTCAGTGGGTGTCCAGAGTCTTATCAGAAGGGTTTCTTTACTTTCACTGGGTGGCTGGTGCCTGCACACTGAGTTTTGCAGGCCTGTTCTCACAGAGCGAGCTTCCTGCAGGCTCCCCATTGCAACCCCCTTTCCTTCCTGGAGCTATGTGCTGACTGGTAGGTGAGCACCCAGGCCCTCTCCCCATGGCTGCTGACGGCCAGCTTTCTCTGCACCCTCGTGGTTGCCACAGTCAAAGCTGATAAAATTGCTGATGCAGATTGCCTGCCCAGCTGCGAGTGCTGGCGCGGGACCAGCAGCCCAGACGGTCACTGGAAGTGGTTGGGCTGATTATTGGCATCATCTCCATTGTCCTACTCAGTTCTTAAAGGCATATGGGCTTGCCTCACTCCTACAGCAAATGACGGCATGGGCAAAGAGGGGCAACAGACACCACCCTGAAGACACTCCTCATCTGGTTGACTTGGTGGGGTTAAGGGAAAAAGATGTGATGACTAGGGACTGAGAGCTCGGTGGTTCTGCCAGAGCTGCAGAGTCTTTGTTGGCCTCAGGGTGGGACCTCTCACATCTCTGTCAGCTTGTCATAGATGCCAACCCGTTATGATTCATTTCACCTGTCCTGAGCACTAGCAAGAAAAATTCCCTGTAGCTTGTGATGTATTATTCTGAATTTCTCAACTCATTCATTCGTTCATTCATTCACTATACCATTACTATCTATTATAAGGGGGGCACTATGGTAGGTGCTGGGAATAAAAACGATGTTTCATGTTTCATGAGGCTTCTCTGTCCTTAAGGAGTCTGCATGTCTTTGTACCTCTCTGTCTGCCACATTATTAAGCTACACTGTGAGAAGCTACTGAGAGTGGCATGTGGGACATGCAGAAGGACAAGAGGCAGGAGAGATGATTGATGTCGGAGAGGCAGGGGAGGACTCATGGAGAGGGTGATGTTTGAGCCGAGTCATGAAGGCTAGTGGTATTTTTCCATGCAGAGAAGTGGGAGGAAAGGCATTCTGTGTGGAGGGCACACGGTGTGCAAGGGCAGAGAGATGTGAGCGAGGGTGGCGTGCTTGGGGCCATGAGTAATGCAAGAGCATGGGGTGTGCAGGATGAGTGGCCAAAGGCGGGGCTAGGAAGTGGTGGCTGAGGTCATTATGTGAAGGCTTTGTGCTACTGCTTCAGAGTTGTGGAACCCGACCTCGCGGTCTGGGGAAGATGCTGATGGCAAGGGATGGCATCATCAGGTTGTGCTGCCATCCCAGAAAGGCCCAGGCTCAAAGGTTTTGGGTTAAGTAAGCCAGGAGGGTTAGAAAGAGAGGAAGATGCCAGGGCATCTGGTAAGATAAAGCATGTGTCAGGCTTGGAGTTGCACGAGGCAGGTGCCCTGAGCCCATTGATGCAACTTCCAGCTGCTTTGGTGGCAGAGCGCAGGCACATTTGGAGAGCACAGCTTGCTCTGGCCCCTGCCCACCCTGCTCACCTCCCAGGGCCCAGCTTCTCACCTGCTCGCCTTTGGTGTGGCTGGGGGAGGCATAGGCCTCCGGGTAGTGCTGCCGCTCAAATGGGCACTCGAGCGGCTCGAGGTGGTGCTGGCTGAAGGCATCCGTGCGAAGGTGCTTTCGGGGTCCGCTGCTGCTGCTCTGTGAGTCGATGCTCAGCCGGCAGCTATCCTGATCACCTGGTTCCCCCCAGGCAGGAAGAAAGCTTTTAGGGGACGTATCTACTCATGCCCTAGGCCAAAGTAGAGGACTGACTCCAAGCCGACTCACTGTGGAGGGAGAAAAAGGGCCAGCCACCTGGGCCCAGGAGCCTTGGCCAACTGACAGACAGGACATGTGACAGTCACATGCCGAGCTCCTACAGAGTCCCATGTCATAAGTGGAAGGGCTTCTGTCCCCATCAAAGCCTGAGCAAACTGCCCTCGTGCACCCCCGCTGCCCTCCTGTCCCAGCACTCACTGTCATCCATTTTCCTCTTGTCGCTGCCAGGCTGAGCGATGCCCAGGAGCCCATTGATGGAGTAGGTGGAGCCCAGGGAATCCGACTGGGGTGACTCCGGAGGAGTTACAGCTGAGCTGGGGACTGCAGTGGGGGAGAGGGAGAGGGTCAGGGGTGGGACACCACTCACAGTCCTGGGTGACTCTGGGGGAGTTACAGCTGAGCTGGGGACTGCAGTGGGGAGAGGGAGAGAGTCAGGGGTGGGAGTGACACCTCTCACAGGCCTGGGGTGACCCCCGGGTGACTGCGGGGGTTACGGGGAGAGGGTCAGGGTGCAGGAGTAACAGCCCTCACAGGCCCTGCTGACACTGTGGAGGAGGCAGCAAGCCGAGCCATGGATTGAGCCCCGAAGGGGCTCAGGTCCTTCCTCCAGGGCGCCTGCTGGTGGGAGGGATTCTTGGAGTCAGAGCTGCCTCAAATGTTTGCACCTCTCCATAGTTCAGTGAATCTGCCCTGGGAACAGGCCAGACTTTGTCGTAGTGGCACAGCTCAGTCCACACATGGGTTTGTGAATAGTACTGTGCACAGCTGTGTCTGTGTGGGTGTGTCTGTGTGTGCCTCTGTGTACATGTGGGTACACTGAAGGATGTGTGTGCATCCAGGTCTCTCAGCACTCACTCAGCGTGTGTCCGGGGCTCAGGGACTTGGTGGCCACGCAGCTGTCCATAGGGAGGTTGAATGGTTGCTGCACTTTGGTCCGGATGATTCTGTGATGAAGAGAAGAAAGGCCATGAGAGAGAAGAGGAGGAAAGAGAACTCATGGCTGCCCCAGACCCAGTTGCCTTTTTGACACCCCTTTGGGTATCTCAAAGGCACTTGAAACTCGACTGTTCACAGTAAAGTCTGTGACCCTACTCTGCACGTCTAGTCCTCCCCAGTTGTCCGTATTTCATGATTGGTACCATCAGTCGCTCAAGGCCAAAACAGAGATGGGGCTTAACATCTGCTTCCCTCTCTTTCCTATCAAACCCATCATCGAGTTCTGTGTTTTGACCTTGTGAACCTTGCCAATGTTGACCCCTCTCTTCTTCTCTCCGTCAGCACCTTAGTGCATGTCATCACCACTGTTCCACGATCACTCACTGGCCCACGCCCATCCCCTCTTGATCCTTTCTAAGTGATTCTTCCTACTGCTGCCACAGTGGACTTTCTGAAATGCAAGTTGACCACCTGCTTAAAATCTGCCAACAGTTTCCCATTGCTTTATGACCAAACGCAAGAAGGTATAACACAGCTCCCAGCCTCTGAAAGGCCACCTCTGCTGACATCTTCAACTTCAGCCTATCTTATGCTCCCCTGCTCTCTATCTACTGGTTTTCTTTTCTTTCTGTCGTCTTCTTCTTCTTCTTCTTCTTCTTCTTCTTCTTCTTCTTTTTCTTCCTCCTCCTCCTCCTCCTCCTCCTCCTCCTCCTCCTTCTTCTTCTTCTTCTTCTTCTTCTTCTTCTTCTTCTTCTTCTTCTTCTTCTTCTTCTTCTTCTTCTTCTTCTTCCTTCTTTCTTCTTCTTTCTTCTTTCTTCTTCATTTGAGATGGAGTCTCACTGTTGTCACCCAGGCTGGAGTGCAGTGGCATGATCTCAGCTCACTGCAACCTCTGCCTCCCAGGTTCAAGCGATTATCCTGTCTCAGCCTCCCAAGTAGCTGGGATTACAGGCACCCACCACCACACCCAGTTAATTTTTGCATTTTTAGAAGAGACGGAGTTTCACCATGTTGGCCAGATTGGTCTCAAACACCTGACCTCAGGTGATCCACCTGCCTTGGCCTCCCAAAGTGCTGGGATTACAGACATGAGCCACTGCACCTGGCCTATCTGCTGGTTTTCTTTTGATCCTATTAGCCACAGGGCCTTTGCATAGCTGTTTAAACTCTTTTCACCTAGTTCTCTTATTTTTTCATACTCAGGGGAAGACTCATGACCTTCATAAACCAAATAATCCTATGCTAGCTTGCATATCCTTATGTTCCTTTTCTTAGCAGGACTTACAGCTGTATTTTTACAATATTTTTTGTAGGTAGCTGATTAATATCTGTGTTCTCATTAAACTGTAAGCTCCGCAAAGATGGGTTTTGTGTGTCCCCAGGGCCTAGCACAAGATGAATGAGTGAATTATGTGCGAATGAATTAATGAACAAGCGAGTAAGTAAATGATTGATTGAGGCAGTGAGTGAATCACTGAGGGACTAAAAAAATGAGTGAATGCTTGAATGTGGGCCAGGTTAGGGGTCTGGTGGCTTAGAAAAGGATCAACTCATGAATATTCTTTTATTGAATGAAAGAGGATGTGGTGTTTGAGGAAGGAAACTGTAGATAGCACACTATGGCTTGGGGCCAGGGGGAGGGTGCCCCATAGGATGGGGCAAGGGAGGAGGCAGGGAGGTATGGTATCTGCCTGGAGCCAGGTGTGCTCCCTGCCTGATTCTTCAGCATCAGGCCCCTTCCCGGCCTCTGCTCCACCCAAGCCAGTTCCTTCTTGTTTCTTTCCTGATTTCCCCAAAGCCCAGGGGCCCCAGCCTGATGCCAGAGGCTGCTTTCTCTCTTACCTATTAATGGAACTGACACTGGGCACAGTGTCATTGTCACAGACGCCCTCAGCCAGGAGCCGGTCTCGGATCTCCCAGGCAAACATGGTAGGGTTCTGGCGTTTGTAGTCCCCAATCTTCTCCACCACCTTGGGGGTGGCCACCTTGGGCTTGGAGCCCCCTATCACTCCAGGACGGATGCTGCCAGTCTCGTAGTACCTACTCCAATAGAGAATCCCAAAGAATTACCCAATAAGCAGGTGGGGTCTTTAGACAGTGACTTAGCCAAAGCCTCCCTCCTCTCTAAGGCCTCTGGGGAGGGGTATGAGAGTGAAACGTGCCCCCAGGGCTGTCCTCAAACACTTGATACGCATGGAACTATCTGTTTCCCTCGCATGGGTAGGTTCATGCTACTGCCAACCCAGCACCCTCCGCTAAAGGCCTCACCTTGGCTTCTCTCTCTCTCTTCCCTCTGACCAGTCTCTTGTGTCCTAGCACCTGCAACAGCCATCATATGGGACACAAAAGATTTCCCTTATAAGAAAGGAAATCTTGGTGTGCCTGATGTGTGAATGACAGGGGCACAGCAGTTTGCTCTATCCAGCTTCTCTTGGCAAAAGCATGACTTTTTTTTTTTTTTTTTTTTTTGAGACAGGGTCTCACTCTGTCACCCAGGCTGGAGTGCATGGGACAATCTTGGCTCACTTCAAACTCTGCCTCCTGGGTTCAAGCGATTCTCCTGCCTTAGCTTCCCGAGTAGCTGGGATTACAAGCGCCTGCCACCACACCCGGCTAATTTTTGTATTTTTAGTAGAGACGGGTTTCACTGAGTTGGCCTGGCTGGTCTTGAACTCCTGACCTCAAGTGAAACACCCGCCTTTGGCCTCCCAAAGTGCTGGGATTACGGGCATCAGCCACCATGCCCAGCCAATGACTATTTTCTTCGGCCACTTAGAAAGCTAGCTGAGGTCACTGGACCCTCTGCTCTGTCTTGCTGGTTCACCTTTGCTCCCTGCCCTGTCCAAGCCTGAGGCATATCCCTCACCCCTGGTTGCTAGTTTTCTATCAGGTTTTAGCAGGTTCGAGTTGAAGCTTCTCCTCATGGACTCTGGAATCCTGACCTTGCTTGGATCCCCAGCCAGGACCAGCTTGTTAAGCTGAGCCTCCTCTTCTGGGGCCTCCACCCTTCCCCTCCCTTTATCCTCCAACTAGTTGCTTTGGCAGATCAACGGCCTATGTCAGCATATCCTCCTCCTCTTGTGGTAGAAACTGTCTGCTCTCATCTGCATGAAAAAGAATCTGGCTCTTTGAAACTCCATTCATCTGTTGCTTCCATCCGGGACTCATCTCCTCTGGGACACCACAGCCCATCACAGGAACCCCCTCTCCCAAGCCCAGCAAAGGATCATGCCTTTCCCTAACTACTTCAGGAAGGGAGCCAGGGTTTTCACGGTTCAAAGAACAGTCCAGGTCCCTTTGCCTTGTCCAGGGCTCCTCCTAAATCCACCTAAGGGTCAGAGCAGGGGGACAGGCACATGCACACAGAGCTGACTGGAAGCTCAGCACAGAGGCGTTTTTAATGGAACTGGCTTTGCAGACTGGAATCTGTGACTGTGGCAGCTCAGAAGCAGGCCTTTGCTGCTCCTGGTCTCTCCTGAACCTTTGGTTCAGTGGTTCTCAACCCTGGCTGCAGAGAATTAGAGTCTCTTGCTGGGGGCAGATGGGTTGGGGAGTTATAAACCAAAATTTGGGCCTATTTCCTTTAAGTTCTGATTTAATTGGTCTGGGCTGGGGCATAAACAGTATTGCTATTTTTAGAATCAGCCTTCCTCAGGTGACTCTAATGTGCTGCCAGGGCTACGAAGCGCTGATCTGGGGTCTTGGGGAATTATGGTTTGAGAAGCATAAACTCAGATGTCCCTCTTTTAGGGGTTAGACCTTGGGAGCTCATCTGACTGTGTACCCCCTCCCTAGTGGCCCAATTTCCCTAGGTCTCGGTAGGAGGAAGACCTTTGGGGAAGATTCTCCTGCCTTAGAAGAAGAGAAGCCTATAGCAAATGAGACATAGAGCAAAAGAGAAGAAGGGAGAGGGAGAAAGTAAAAGGATAAATGGACAAAGAAAGAAGGAAGGGCAGAAAACAGTAGAAACATGGTGGCTGGGTGGAGGCCCAGAAGGACCACCAGAACTGTTCAGGTCTCAGGACCAAAGCTGGACATTGGGAGCCAATCCCCATTCCCCGGGAGGGGAGTTCTCCAGCTGCCCTGAGATGAGCTGGGGAAGTCAAGCCCTGCAGAGAAGGCAGCCCACGGTGAATTTCGTGCTTACCTGCCGAGGATCTTGCTGACGCAGCCATGGCTGACACGGAGCTGGCGAGAGATGTCACAGGGCCTCACACCCTGGTGGGCCAGGTCTACAATGCGCTGGCGGACCACTTCCGGCAGGGGTCTGCCGTTCACAAAGGCCCCTCCCAGCTGGTTCAGCCCTCCATGGCCTAAGGAGACAATATTCCCAGGGACAGTTGTCAGGGCCAGGCAGGAGTTTGGGTGGGGATTAGCTATGAGTGCAGGGGTGTGTGTGTGTGTGTGTGTTTGACTGTGACCACGAAATCCCACGGCCAGGCCCTGTGGGCCCCTCTGCAGTTCTTTCTCCCAGGATGCTGGCACAAATGGTATGTGATGCTCATCCCCCATGATGGGATGATGTCACAGGAGCACCTTGGGCTTGGGAACTCTCTGGGCAGACTCAGCCCTTCACTCCAAATCACAATCCCCTATTTTCTTCCCTCCCTCTGAAAAGCGTGTAAGGAGTTGAGGATGTGGGGTCTTCCCATGCCAATACTGAGCCGTTTGACCTTGAGAAAAACCCCTTCTCTTCTCAGAGTCTCTTTTCCTTTTGTAAAATGAGGGCACAGGTGATTTTCACCTTTCTCTTTCTCCTCATGGAACCAGATTTTAAAATACTACCCCACTGAGAAAAACAAATACAAAAGAATAAAAGCAGAACTTCTCTGGTAGAGCTTGGGCAGAGAAGGCCTGAGTCCTATCTGTGGCCTTCTGGCCTAAATGACCCCCAAGGTTCCTTCTTCCTCTAACAGGCCAGAGCACCAGGGACCTGCTGCAGGGTCCTCACAGGCATAGATAGCACTGGGTTCCAGGGTGGACATGGGGGCTACAGGCCACTGTGGGAATCTGTCCATGTCATGGATGGATATGTGTACACATTCCCTTAGCTGCTTTCCTGACTTGGCCTCTGCTCTCTGGCCCCAGCCTTTGTTTCATTCTGAGCCCATCTATCCAGTCAAATCCATGTGAATTGAGTGCCAACTATGTACCAGGCACTATACAGGTCCCTGACGATGCCAAGGTGAATAAGGCAGACATGATCCCTATTCTTCCCTCATGGGGTTTATTACAGTGAGGTCCCAGACCAGCAAACAACCAGTTAACATATTTTGTGACCACTTTTGGGACTGGTGACATGCAGAGAGTTATGGGAACCACTGGAGGGGAACTTGACTTGGCTCAAGGAAACACAGAAGGGTTCCTGAGGAGGTCTAAGCTGAGACTGAAGATAAACAGGTACTAGCCAAGTGAGGAAGAGAGGGGAGAAAACTGTTCCAGGCAGTGGGAACAGAATGTGCAAAGACTCAGAAGCAAGAGGATACTTGTCTGTTAGATTTTCCAACATATTCAACTCTATAGTCCCTAGAACCATTTTGGGCTAATTTCAGGGCCGAGATTTCTATTTTTCTCATGAGGAGACCGGGGCTCAGAGAGTTGTAGTGATCTGATTTATATGTCTTGTTTAACTCAGCTTATATGAGGGGGAGCTGGGATCCAACCAGAATTTAAGGTTCAGGTCAGGGCTGCTCCTTGAGGGGAGCCCTGTTCTGGGGCTAGAGCTACACCTGGATGCTTGTCATTGGCATTGCTATTTTGTGCTGAACATGCCATGGTCTTTTCACAACAGGGGCAGGATTTGGTGATATGACTGGGAGGGTAGAGCCCTGGGGTGTAGGAGTCAGGGAGCAGACAGGTGAGAAGGAAGAGCCAACCCCAGGCTTCTGTGTGAACTAGTTAAAGACTATTTATGGCCGAGGGTGGGAAGTGCCTTTGCTGGGCACACAGTGCCCATTATCACCCACTGACTTAGCACATTCAGAACTGCCTTGCAATGTCTCCTCAGGGGCCCAAGCTGTCTTCAGCAGAACACTGAATTTCCCTCTAATAAAGGAGGTGGGGGCTGGGCATGGTGGCTGACGTCTGTAATCCCAGCACTTTGGGAGGCTGAGGCAGGTGGATCACCTGAGGTTGGGGGTTCGAGACCAGCCTAACCAACATGGTGAAATCCCATCTACTGAAAATAGAAATACTACTACTACTACTACTACTACTACTACTACTACTACTGCTACTAATAAAAACTAGCTGGGCATGGTGATACACGCCTGTAATCCCAGCTACTCGGAGGCTGAGGCAGTAGAATGGCTTGAACCCCGAGGTGGAGGTTGCGGTGAGCCGAGATCGCATCATTTCACTCCAGCCTGGGCAAAAAGAGCGAAACTCCATCTCAAAAAAAAGGAGGGTGGGGGTGCTCTAAGCCTCTACCCTGGGCAGTAAGTCAGGAGGAAAAGCCCTCTGGCCAAACACCCAGCAAGAAAGATGCAATGATCCATCTTCCTGGTGGAGACAACGGGGGAGCTTGGGTAGAGCTTCCACCTGTGCCCATCCAGGCAAGCCTTCCTAGTGACTGCTTCTCCACTGGGGCTGGAAGAGTGCTTGGAGGGCCTTTAGGAGAGCCCAGATGGTGGGCAGAGTGGCCTTTGCCCAGTCCTAAGCCCATTCCTCTGGTCTTCACTGGCCAGAGTGCCATTTATGAATTGCTGCAGCCGTTTGCCCTCACTGCGTCATTGTTGCCTTCCGGCTCTTTTGGGTCCAGGCACTGAACACAAGGGGGCGCCAGACAGCCACCCAAATACAGACAAGAGTCCAGCTTTGTCCTTATTTTCCAGAACTTTCCCTGCTGTATCCACTTAAACTTAGGTGTTTGTGCTGGGACCTCTATATCTGGAAGTGAGGTTTCTTAGAGGTGAGGGTTCTTCACCTCTACAAATGTGAAGCAGGTTTAAACAAATTCCATTTTAGGGTGGCATGAATTGGGTATTGTGCCTTAAAAAAAAAATGACGCTGTAAGCTGTGTGGGCCATTGCCCTTAATTATTATGAAGGACTGACTCACATCCTTAGAAACCCAAACCCTGAGAGGTTATTTACCATTATCAGCAAGCATTGTAGTGCTGGGAAAGATGCATTCACATTTCTGGCCCCTAAACTGAATTCTCTGGTGCTTGTTTTATTTGACTGCCTTCTGAATGACTTTGTGTTACTGTGGAAAGAGTCTTGGGCCTGATCCCTTCCTTGACACTGCCTGTTTTAGTCTTATCATTCGAGAAAGGGGGTTTTATTTTTTCAACCTTAGTGTTTTTATCTATCGAATGGAGCTTAACAAAACTTATGCCTGCTGCTGACTTAAACTCCTATAAGAAGATAGGGGGGCTGGGCATGGTGGCTCACGCCTGTAATCTCAGCACTTTGGGAGGCTGAGGTGGGCAGATCACGAGGTCAGGAGATCGAGACCATCCTGGCTAACACAGTGAAACCCTGTCTCTACTAAAAATACAAAAAAATTAGCTGGGTGTGGTGGCAGGCACCTGTAGTCCCAGCTACTCCAGAGGCTGAGGCAGGAAAATGGGGTGAACCCACAAGGTGGAGCTTGCAGTAAGCCGAGATCGTGCCACTGCACTCCAGCCTGGGCGACAGAGCAAGACTCCATCCCTTAGTGTTTTTATCTATCGAATGGAGCTTAACAAAACTTATGCCTGCTGCTGACTTAAACTCCTATAAGAAGATGGGGGTTGGGCATGGTGGCTCACGCCTGTAATCTCAGCACTTTGGGAGGCTGAGGTGGGGCGGATCACGAGGTCAGGAGATCGAGACCATCCTGGCTGCATCACAGGAACCTGTCTCTACTAAAAATAAAAAAAATTAGCTGGGTGTGGTGGCAGGCACCTGTAGTCCCAGCTACTCCAGAGGCTGAGGCAGGAAATGGGGTGAACCTACAAGGTGGGAGCTTGCAGCCGAGATCGTGCCACCGCCTCCAGCCCGCGACAGAGCAAGACTCCATCTCAAAAAAAAAAAAAAAAAAAAAAAAAAAAAGATGAAGAAGATAGGGGGATCAGGATGGAGAAGTATTTATTTAGATAAACAAATCTTGCTATAAATGTAATGTTTTTCTAATTTGTATATTCCCATGGTTGAATGTTATGACCCAAGCTTGGGACTAGGATATAGGAAGTGTTTTCTCAAACTTCAGTGTGCATCAGAATCACTTGGCAGTGAGGCTTATTAAAATACAGACTACTGAGCACAATGCCCTAAGTTTCTGAATCAGTAGGTCTGGGATTGAACTAAGAATTTATGTTTCTAAGAAGTTTCCACATGGTATTAATGCTGCTAGGCCAGGGACACACTTTGAAAACCACTGGTTTAGTCCAGGTGATGGCTGGTAAATTAAACATAAGAGAATAACTCTTCATATTCCTCCGACATTCTTCTAAGAATAATAATGATAGTTTGTATATTATGGTTTTCATTTCTTTGCAACTCAAGACATTGACCAAGTGCCTATCATGACTCAGGTACAAAGCACTGGGAATACAACCTTGAACAAGACAAGAATCCTGGCCTTCAAGGAACTTCGAATCTTCTGGGGGATATGATAAGATACATTAGAAATCACCATGTTAATGGTGACCTTTCTTGAAGGATATGAGTCCAGGTGCTTGCGGAGCCCATAAGTGGTTAGAGGGAAGCTGCAAGGAAGAGTATCTAGGAGGTAACTAGGCAAAGAATTTTCCTCAGGGGGAAGAAAATCCATGCGTAAAGTCTTGGTGCCTTCAAGAAATTGAAAGACATTTAGTGTGGCTGTAGAACAGGCAGGAAAGAGAATCTGGAAAGAGCCTGCTGGCTGCAGATGGAGATGGCCCCTATGGTTTGAGGTTTTGAGCTGAGTCCCTGTAATGGAGAGGCTTTTGTCTTTCCTGTGTCCGGTGTGGGGGAGTGGACTCTTCTGAGTGAGTCACCACCAAATGCCCAGAGGTGGGTGCAGTCTTCCTTCCTGCACTGGGGTGGGGGGACGATTGGTGCCCACTGTGCTGACCACCTTTTCATGCTGCTGCAGATGGGGTGGGCTTTGAGGCCGGAAACCAAAAATGAGTAGGAGCCTCCTGGTTGGGCGGGAAGTGGGGTGAGGGGGGAAGGTGTGACCCAGGAAGAGGTTTGGAGCCTCATAAGCAAAGACTCTTTTTATGTCTGAAAGATTGTGAGTGGGGAGGTGGGGTGGGTATGGAGGAGGAAGACAAGACCTCCTGGCCGGATGCAAGCAGGTTCCTGAGTGGAAGGTACTCAGACAGGAAATGCAAGCTTTCCTGTGG